AAAGTGAGGTTTCTGAGAGGAAATAACGAACAGCCATGAAAACACTCAAGAAGGGAGGTGGGGCTGAGTTTCACGAACTATTAAATATAGAAAGCTTGTAAGTTATATCAAATTTTATAACCTAGTCCTAGAAGTAACATGTATGCATATTCCTGGAACAAGTGTTTAGCAGAACCCATTTTGGGGGGATGTCAAACACTTACTTTATTATTAACCACAGCAACTGGAATGGAAATGTATCTGGGAATGATACGCATCAGATGACTCTTATTTGCATTTAGTGCCTGGTCATCACTGGGATAAAATGGAAGCACTTTCAATGTCCAGGGGCATTAGAGTTTTTCACGACCTAAATGCATTCCCAGGGAAGCTGAAGCAGCCAGACTCCAGAGGCAGGAAAGACCTCCTCCACCTTCCATAGACAGGTGGGGTGGCAGCCTGGTGTCTCAGTGGGATGTCCCTGTGAAGATGGTCCAGAGATGACCTGTCCCCCGACCCTGCACATCCCTGGCAGCGCAGACACCCAGCATGCATCTTAGCTTTTCAGATGAAGGAATAACGTATGCTTTAAGCTTTTAAGAGCTTCAGGAGAGATGAAGTCCCTAAATCCACAGCCCATTAAGCAGACACTGATGTCTGTGTGGAGTCCCCGACAGGGCTGCTTAAGAGGATTATCAATGCTCCACCAAAGAAGCCCAAAAAGGAGGTGGGAGAAAGCTTAGTAAACATGTCAGAGTCTGCTTTAGTTTTAGAATTTAACTGGCACTGATTATAAAGCCATGTGTGGAACTTGTACTTTTTCATTTTTATTTTATTAATATACACTCATATATAGTTTTCTGTGTGCCACACAATAGTCTAAGCATTTCACAAATAGGAATGAATTTAATCTTAAAAACAACTATACTTGTTGGGTAGTTTCCTCATTACATTTTACTGACAAAGAAACAAGGTTACACAGCTGGTTTATAAAACTGAAATAATGCAGTGTCTACTCTGGAACCCACCCCCAAACTATGTTACACACTCCTCCCCTGTATTCCCTCTGCTCCATGCAGAACTTTTGTGGCACTCGGGTCTTAGCACAACTGGTCCACAGGTCTTCCTCTCCATTGTCGATGGCCCACTCTACCTCTGTGTTCTTACACCTAGTCAGTTTTCAGGGGATGTTTGCTAAACTGGATCAAAATAGCAGGTCCACATCTCTTTTCTGAAATCCCTGGGCCTACTTGTGTCTTGAAGTTCAGAATTATTAGGCTTTTAGGAAGTTCAGCATACATACTACATGGGCTCCGAGGAATCTTGTGCAGTCCCCAGACTAACACACCAATGGCATGAAATGTGCAAATAAAGACTGTAAAGATAGACAAAGATGAGGCAGCCTTGTGTGAGTGAAGCTCTTGACCTACTGAGTTAGGAAAATCCTCCTACCTTCGCAGCTCTGGGGGTTCAGAAGTAGAATGCGTCTCCCTGGGCTAACCTCCAGGAGTCAGCAATGCTGCAACCTTCTGAAGGCACTGGTGGCAGTATGTGTTTTCTTGGCCTTGGTCCCCTCAACCATCTCCAAGCAAACAGTGTCCACTCGTTTTTCCCACTCTGCATCACTTGGTCTCTGCCTTAACTATCTCCCTCTTTTATTTATAAATGTCCTGTGACTACATAGGGCCTGGCTGGATAATCTTCCACCTCAACATCATCACTTTAACTACAACTGTAGATTCGGCTTGCTTTGTAAGGGAACATAGGGTTTGGAAATTAGAATGAAGTTATAATTGGTGGTGGGGGGTGTTACTCTATCTACCACACTGTTTAAATTCTTTGTGCATGCCCAACATATAATGGAGTGCCAGACACATAGTAGAAGCCTAATAAATGTGTGATGGCTTTCATGTATGTCATTTAATATTCCCGAGTATCAGTTTTTCATCTACAAAATACTTGTTATATTAACACAGATAAAATACCTCTTCTGAACCTCACATGAAATAACGCATGTGAAAAATTTTCTGAAAGCTACACAATGCACTAAAGCTAAAGGTCCTAGCTTACAAACTATAGTGAGAAATATACACACACATTAGTGAAAAACTTAGGAAAGATGATACATGCTGAGAAAAATCCCATGCATCTCAATGAGTTGTTATACAAAAGAGCCAGTTGCTAGAGGATCTAAATATTATCACCTAGCTTGAGGTAGTTCAGTTAGGAACACTACATAATTTAGCATACAAATTTAAGGCACACCATTAATATTTGCAGAGACAAAAGTATCAAACAGCCTCTTCCAGGCAAGTGGGAAGCATGGTACCTCAACTGCAGCACGGTGGTGAGTCCTGGGCCCTGGAGCCTTGTGTAACCATAGCCAAGATCCTCCCTGAGAGCTTGGTGACCTGAGACACGACATGTAACTGCTTTCTGCCTTGGTTTTCTCAGCTGTAGTGAGGAGAGGACCCATCTCACAATGCTGATAGGAAAAGCCAATGAGTCCTTAGAGTGGCACAACAAACATAATTCGTTCCAAAATTCTGGAAAAGATGGCCACATTCATATTCGTGGGGGAAAGATGGCCTTGTCCCCTGATGTGGAGTTTGGAGACAAAAAGTTTTGCCAAACGCCTCTCTTTGTGAACCGAGGTACCACTGTACATACTGAGCATTGAGAAGACTAGTAAGAGCTCAGTCAAAGTCACTGTGGCTCTACATCAAGGCTAGACATATACATGTACTCTAAAATTTTACAAGTGCACCGCACAGCCTTTTCCATGTTATCCCACAAGCCCGCCCAGCAGGCCAAAGGTTGGCAAGGCTTGGCACCAGAAATGAATCTCTAGGAAAGGCGACAATCTTTTCGTTGGTACCTGCTCCCTCACACTCTCATTTCTGCATCCCATCCTGCTTCCTGAGCTCACTGTGGAACAGAGCGGCAGTGCCAGCCTGCAATCCTGTAAGGCCTTGTCATGAAATATAGCAAAATCCTTTGTTATTAGAGCAGGAGACAGGCAGACTGGAAGATTAACGCCTGAAAGCAGCAGTCTTTCCCAGTGAGTGCACTGGTGCTAACAGAAGGGACAATATTTTAGTTCTAATTTTGAAAATTTCATATGCTAAAATCATACTGTGCCAATATTGTTTTAAAGTGCAAACCATGACCCTGCGTATATTTGCTTTTGTAAAATTATGTTCTAAGCAAAATCCCAAGTTATTATACTCAGCAGAACACAATAACAAGTACAGATGAACACTACTTTCTGTGCAACCTGAAATAATGATAGTGATTATGCCGATTTGTAAAAACAATAGCTATAGCAATTAGTATTTGTTCAGTGTCTACTACAATCCAGGTTCTAAGCACATGCTAGCACTTGATCCTCAACAATTCTATGAAGTAGATACTATTAATATCTCTATTTTACAGGTGAGAAAAATACGACACAGACAGGTTAAATCTCCTGCCCATGATATATAAATATAGTAAGTGGTGGATGCAGGGTTAAACCCAGGCAATCTGGCCTGAGCACACACTTTTAAATACAAACTGCTCCATCTCAAATGGGAAAGCAGAGGGACTTGCGCATGCATATCAGGAGCCTCGTGGGACACTGAACACAAGACTGCTCTCTGCGCCTCTGCAGAACCCTCTGCACAGAATGCCTGTATCTCCTGTGTCTCACTGGCATCTTCCCCTCTGTCCTTTCAGTCCTTGGCACTCAGGATAAATGGCAAGATTCCAGGACTGGCAGTTATTTAGTCCCTGTTAAATTTTTCTAATACAGTATTAGCCTTATGAAAGGATTTTAACCTCATTTTCCTTTGAGAATAAGCTCCCTAAGTTAATGAAGATGAGATTTGCATTTTACCTGAGATTGCATTACAGATGTTCCTCAGCTTATGTGGTTCTAAGAAACTTAAGTTGAAAATATATTTAATACAACTAAACTTTGAAATATTCTACTTCACAACACAGCACACTATAGATTACTGCATGCTTCCTCCTATGATAGAATTGCTGATTGGGAGCTGTGGTTACAACCACTTCCCATCATCAGAAAAGAGGATCAAGGGCTGACAATTTAGCACAGTGGCACTGTGTCTGCTCTGCAACTGTAAGGTCATGAGTTCAATCACCAGTACCAGAAAAAAAAATAAATAAAGAAGAATAATTTGGGGCAGGGGATGTAGCTCAGTGGAACAGTGCCTGCCTGGGAAGCAGGAGGTCCTGAGTTCAATCTCCAGTACAAAACAGAAAGAAAGAAAAGAGGATCAGACCATATGTTGCTAGTCCAGGAAAAGATCTAAATTCAAAATGTGAAGTACATACAGTTTCTACTAAATGCACTTTGCTTCAAACCACTGTAAAATCAAACAATCCCATGCCCAAGCATCCTACGTCAGGGACTATCTATCTGTATGTATGATGACACCCTAAGTGTTTGTACCGTTTGCGGGGCAAGACTACTTAATAAACTTTGAGGATCTTTACAGAGGCAGATTTTTGCCTTTTTTTTTTTTTTTAACTCAGTTTACTAAAGCTATAACACTGTGAACAATCTTCATCAGAATCTCCAGCCATTATAATGCAACAAACCTCCCCCTAAAACTCGAAAGAGGCCAGGTTAAGCTGAATGTGGTGGTGCACACCTATAATCTCAGCACTCTGGGAGGCAAAGCCAGGAGGATTGCAAATTTAACTCCAGGCTGGGCAATTCAGTGACTTAGTGTGACCCTATCTCAAAATAATAAATTTTAAAAAGGCCTGGAGATGTAGCTCAGTATGAGGGCCCGGGCTTATTCCCCACTAACATAATAGATTAGATAGGTAGATAAGTGTGGGGGGGGGGGTGGATGGGGCCAGGGATGTAGCTCAGTGGCAGAACCCTTGCCTAGCATGTACAAGGTCCAGGGTTCAAACCCCAGTAGCAAAAAAAACCAAAGTGGTGGTGGTGGTGTGGAGGAGCCAGGAAAGGAAAATCACCCAGGATGTCTTTACAAGGGTCGCCTTACTTGTTAATGTTGCTGCCTTCTTTCAGTCGCTCACCCGCAGCTCCAGTTTTAGACACTCTTTCGCTCCCTGCCAGGTCTACCAAGCTGACCTTACTGACTTTCTCTCCTGAGTTCTAGTTGTAGGAAACAAGAGAGGAAAGGGCACACATTAATGCAGATACCACATGGTATCATCTGTCAGCACTGTGACTCAGAACCCCACCGTCCATCCTGCTCCAACACAGCACATTCCCCAAGATCTTCAATAGTCCAAAGATTTTCATTTCAAAATTTAAACTCCTGTAGAAATGTAGCACCTTGTTCTGCAGCTGGGTAGCAAGCACATCCAGCTTTCCAGAATATAGCGTAAGAGCTGGAGACTGAATGTGCCTTTGAGGAAATATTCAGACATGAGGATTCATGCACATTTGGATCAGTTTCCTCTTTTGAAACATAATTTTTTAGGCTAAATGTTATAGTTTCCTCTTTAATATGCCTCAATAACCACCCCAGTAGGGTTTTTCAGACAATTTCAACATGAAAGGATATAAACTGAAAGATGTATATGATCTTTAGGGAGTTTACACACAAAATTCAATTTTTAAAAAAACGATCATATAAAAAGAAGAGCTAAGAAAACAAACGATTTAGGCAAAGTAGCTCACCTAGTAAGCAGAAGAGCCAATGTAAAATTCCCGGCTACCAAATCCAACTGTGACATACTTGCCCTGTGTAGACGCTCTGGGTTTTTTCCCCCACCTGCAACATTCTGCCCCATCCCTCACCCCAGACTGCAGGTCATACAGTGTCTGTGTGATGATGATGTTGAACACCGCATGTGAGCGGCTGCTTTCTTCATTCATGTTGGTTGCAGCTACTGTTCGAGACTTATTTCCCTCAGACATCAATGACTCAATATCCTGGAGGCAAAGCATCAGGAAAAACACCATAAGCAAAAACACAAGGATGTGTTCTGGATCCCAGGTGTGTGCACACAGTATGATCCCCCGACACCTCTGTCACCCTTCCACAAAGCCCCTGCCTCCTCCACCACATATAGCTGAGTGTCCACCTCTTCAGGGCTCTCTAGTATGTGAAACATTCCCCCATTCTTCCCACCTGCCAGATGGGTTCTTTCCCTGTTAAGACCCCCACTTTCTCCTTTGGAAGTTCCCTGGAGAGCTGATATTAACTGAACACTCCAGACCCTCGGTAACAGCAGTTACCATATTTAATCCTAACTGTCCCATGCGTATCGCCCTGATACAGCTGTCTACCACTTGTTTATCTGCCTCCTCCTCCAACACCACGGCTCTCCAATGGAAGGGGATGTCCCCTCAGCATGTCTGGATACTTGCTCCTAGCACACAGCTAGAATGTATGGGCTCTAACAAAATGTCTGCTGAATGAACCTTATGGAAGGGATCTTTTCCTGCTTTTATGCCCAAAGATGCTGACATTCGTGGAGGTCAGATAACTTTCCCCACATCTAGTACAGGACAGAGCTGGGATGCAGATCAAGAATTCACTGGCTCTTACTAATAAGTGACAGGATGACAAACACACTGACAGTGACAATGGGCTAAGAACCAGGCTCCTTAGTGAAGGTCCTGACTTAGCATCTTTAGGTCAGAAAGGTTTCCACTCATTTTAGAATTCTTATGTTTCTCAGGTAACAACTATGCCCTATTTTATT